AGTGTTCACTTATCCTAGAACGACGTACCTGACTTGGCCCTTTCCAAGCATAGTTTGGCTCCGTTCAGGTACGAACATGAAAGTCGAAAATCTCCGTTCAGTTCCTACCTGGTACAAAATCCGTTGACCCTGATGTTCCACGGCAATGCCCTTTCCCATCTGTGTCACTTGCCCATGACGTTCCTTGTTCAACTCTGGGCCGAACAGTAAATGAACTTGAATGAGCCCTACACAATCCACTTGTTTGAGTCATTGATTCAATAATGCATTCAACAAAAATAGGGAGTTTGGGATGCTGCGCACAAGACATGATTCGGGAGTATTTGGGATGCTGAGCACAAGACATGAAGGGAATCCTTCATGAACGGAAGGTTCGCGAATGCTTGCAATGTTTGACTATGTTCCTACGGTTCATAAGAGCTTAGGGGGCCTGGAGCACATGGAAAGGCCACCAAGGTCATTTGAAAGAAAGCTAGACCTCTTGACCATGGGAAATTGCGCCGAACCTAAATGGCCCACCGGGAGTGTTCACTTATCCTAGAACGACGTACCTGACTTGGCCCTTTCCAAGCATAGTTTGGCTCCGTTCAGGTACGAACATGAAAGTCGAAAATCTCCGTTCAGTTCCTACCTGGTACAAAATCCGTTGACCCTGATCTTCCACAGCAATGCCCTTTCCCATCTATGTCACTTGCCCATGACGTTCCTTGTTCAACTCTGGGCCGAACAGTAAATGAACTTGAATGAGCCCTAAACAATCCACTTGTTTGAGTCATTGATTCAATAATGCATTCAACGAAAATTGGGAGTTTGGGATGCTGCGCACAAGATATGATTCGGGAATATTTGGGATGCTGAGCACAAGACATGAAGGGAATCCTTCATGAACGGAAGGTTCGCGAATGCTTGCAATGTTTGGCTATGTTCCTACGGTTCATAAGAGCTTAGGGGGCCTGGAGCCCATGGAAAGGCCACCAAGGTCATTTGAAAGAAAGCTGGACCTCTAGACCATGGGAAATTGCGCCCGAACGCATGTGTTGCACTTTTTTTTCTGCATACCTTTTCCCCGCGAAAAACGGGAAAAGTCGAAAAAAAATCTTTTTTTCTTTCTCTGCCCGAACGCACGCGTGTTTTTTTGTTTCTGCACCCCTTTTCCGCGCGAAAAACGGGAAACATCGAAAAAAAATCTTTTTTTCTTTCTCTGCCCGAACGCATGTGTTGCACTTTTTTCCTGCATACCTTTTCCCCGCGAAAAACGGGAAAAGTCGAAAAAACATCTTTTTTTCTTTCTCTGCCCGAACGCACGCGTGTTTTTTTTGTTTCTGCATACCTTTTCCGCGCGAAAAACGGGAAAAATCGAAAAAAAATCTTTTTTTCTTTCTCTGCCCGAACGCACGCGTGTTTTTTTTGTTTCTGCATACCTTTTCCGCGCGAAAAACGGGAAAAATCGAAAAATTTTCTTTTTTTCTTTCTCTGCCCGAACGCACGCGTGTTTTTTTTGTTTCTGCATACCTTTTCCCCGCAAAAAACGGGAAAAATCGAAATTTTTTCTTTTTTTCTTTCTCTGCCCGAACGCACAAAAGGGTACGCGCTAGAAAAACAACGCGCGCGATCCAGCTTAGGAATTCCCGGAAATCGACTTTTTGTGGTAGTTTTATCAGTTAAACAAGCACAAAACTGGTGCCAAAGGGCCACTGCGCAGGGGATTAAAGTGGAGAAAATATGGATTCTGTATGACAACTGTTCAGAAAGAACCCAAGTATAATTTGCAACATGGCCGTGGGGAACGGTTACGAAACTATCAAGCGGATAGAGTCGGTGAAATTGATATCTATACAGTACTTCTACCTATCTATCTACCCATCTACCTATCTATCTACCTATCTATCTGCCTATCTATCTATCTATCTAACTGATGCTCTCTATCACCCCCCAAAAATGGATCGTCATTGTCAACAATATGTTTAAAAAAAGACATCTGATACTAAGCATGACCAGCCATTTGTTGGTCCAGTGATACCCCAAGTGACCGCCCTTGTCCCGCAGTTGGCCGCTGCACCGCAGGTCGGATGCGAGCATCTCAGACCTCAGAGCTGATCTTGGTACAAGGAATTGGGGAGATGACCAGCAAATATATAGATTACATGTATAGACTGTATAGATATCTATATACATATAGATATCTATACTAGGCGTGTATATTTTTTCTGCCTATGTATGTGTATATCTGTGTTATATGTGTAATTTTGCATGTATATACGTATACAGGCGTATACATATACATTCATACACACACACATATATATATTCACACATGTTTTTAAAGATGTACAGTACACGCAAGCAGACTGGTCTTAAATTTGCAACACGACATTCATGAACTGGGATTCTCTTTCCATGTTTTCATATGGTTTCCAGCGGGGAAAACACGACAACGTCAAGCAAAACTCCTGTGGCAAGGAAATGTTGAGATCCAGCCATGACATTGAGGGTGAGGGCAAAGATGAAGAGGAAGTGAATCCCTCCAGTTGGGGAAGACCATGTCAAGATGTGATCATCTGAGCCTTTGAAAGCAAGATCGTGTTCTGGCAGTGATGACAACCCCCTTTTTGGATCTTCGGGAGCATAACCCACGCAACCTTTTCAGGTATCCCAAGCAGCGATTGAAACTCAGGGATTTCCCTCGCCAAGATGCAAGGTCTGTGGAGCTGCATCTCCCTGCCAGGCTGTATCCGCCAGGCTGGAAAAGGATCACGGGTGACCATACACCAAAAAACACCTGGAGGAATCACCTACAGTGAATTTCAGATGAATTTCAATACTCCTCTACATCTGAACTTCATTCGAATTCAAATCCAGATGTGAACATATCTAGCACTGCAGCTGGGAGCTACTAATTTGGGTCAACATACAAAGAGGTGAAAGTGCAAGTCATCACCTACAAGTGGTGCCGCCTCCAGTTATGTTTCTTAGTTCATAAACCTGCTGAAAACTACAGATACATCTACCGTCTACCATACTAATTATTAGAGTTATAAACCAACTGTCATTCAGCATGCAAGTGATTGTGCACCTTGGAAGAGGGCGTTTGACCTGGGCCAAAGGGGAAAGATGCAGAAAAAGTATAACTGGGTTCATTGGCCGAATTCTAGGGGTGGAAAGTGACAGATACTTCAAACCATCCTAGCTATAACTAGTATTCGCAGAAATAGGGGAAAGGAACAATAATGACAAAACAACTCAGAGTTAAGACTTCGAAGACACACGAGCAGCACAAAAAGACAAGAGAACGAATAATCAAATCCACGAGCATGAATCGCGCTCAAAGACCCACAGTCAAGTTTTTATATTGATCATATTGCAGGCAAAACTCTGGGAGTTCGCGTGCCAGCCTGAGTCGGACAGTGACGGGAACTGACAAAGTAGGTAGAATCAAGGTGGATGTATGGGTTTGTCTGGAAGTGGAATATATACCAGTTTATGGCCATTTTGAATGGGCAATGTCACCACTATTATAGATGCGGGGGTATCCTATTTTGGACCAGCTCATGTGAGGAGTCGGACAGCATCCCATCTGGGAAATTTTATGGCAATCAAAAAGCCAGTGCCAGGCTGTATCACAGCTGCTTGTAGCCTATGGATGCTTATGGTCAATTTGCATCACCAGATTGCATTCGGTGATATTTCACTTATGATTCTTTATTCTTTAGATTCGTCTCCCAGGGCTCCCCACTGCTTTGGCTGTCTTATGGGCGATTTCCTGTCATGCGGCAGGAAAGACTCAAGCGCATCTTTGGGGCGTCCCAACATTTTGGATATCCCATGCGAGTTTCAAGTTCAAGAAACAACAGAAATATTGCGCTTTTCGATAAACACCATGGACTAAAAGCCTTCAAACGATGATTTTGGGTACCCGCAATCTGCAAAATCATCTAGTATATCCAGGTCCTAGTCACACCCACTAACCATCCCCAAAAGAAGAGATTTTGCAAGATTCAAACGTTCCAACCTTTCAAAAAAGAAAATGGATGACATATTCGTCAACTTCTTGATTTTCACAGATGTCACCGGGCCAGGAGAGAAACCCGCAAGCCAAATCCAGAATCTCTATGAATCTCGGTATCCGACGTCGTATCCAGTCACAGGACGCATGATGATCATGATGGGAACAAACATTGAAGATATTGAAGTGGTCCGCTCCATGGCTATCAGTATCAGCTATCGACTCACTGGTCTGAGTGTTCTGTTCAGAAACCAGTAAATTCAATAAAACTTCAACGATTCCATTGAATTCGTAGTGCCCCATGATTCCTGTCAGCACAGGACACCGCGCCAGAAAGACATCGTTGCACCACTTGCTACCAGTTTCCTGCATGGATCCAGCAGTTCGATGCAGCGATCGGCAGATAGTAATGGTAATGAGCAACGCCCCGCATCATTATCAAGTAATGGTAATTATGGTAATTGCTTGATAGTAATGCAAACATAGAGACAGGAACCTTGGCACCCCTGGCCTGACAATGCATCCCTGAGAATATTTGGCATGGAGGCAAAGATAGATCATTTATGAGGGTGTGATTAGAAGGCCCCGTACTGGACCATGACTTCCTTGAGGCCCTAAAGCTATGGCGGTCTAAGACACTGGTAAAATGAAACCGTCACAGTTCAGCATCTCACATCGGCAAACACATATCATATTTATCTATTGTATTCTACTGTATTCTATTGCCATCTATTTGGATGACGATCAGACTCCTCTTTCTAGTTTGGTTATAATCCCACCATCTTGGTCAATTGAGATTCAAAATCCCAAGGATGAAGGAACCAACAAATAACTTGGGTCGAATACCATTTCCCCACGAGCAGTGCTCATGGCATTGGGGTAAATCCCCGCAGTTTTGGACAAACCCAAAAATCATATTGGTTATATGTCCCAGTGTATCCTACTGTATCTTCATATTGTCTTGGTAAATCCACCATTCTCTGGCGAATTTTCGACATCACCTGGTACTCTGTCCATCTCTGTCCTCCACCCTCAAGCGCACTGCAAGGCTCGAAGCCTGGAAAAAGCGAACTGTTTTTGGATTGACCAATATGTACTTGCAGGCATGTACATTTATGTAATTGTATATATATATATACACGACAGAATATATATATATATACACATACATACTATGTATATATATAATATGATATATATATATACACATACTATATATATATATACACATACTATATATATATATACATACTATATATATATACATACTATATATATATATATATAACAACTGTCGCCCAGATCAACAGAAACACCCCGCCCGGCCGCCCAGTGTTTCGCGCTGTCGCCCTCTCGATTTTTTCTCCGGACGTGCGCTGCAAAAGTAGGTTCGTTCGAGCGGCCGTTGTCATGCTTCCTGAGCCGCAGAGGGTCTCCCCCTTTTGTTTGGTGCTTTACATGTGGGGGGGGGGCAGTGAGCGCCCCCCCATCTCCGACTTACATTACAAAAGGGGGGTTTCCATTAAGAGGTTAAACCACACCGACAGGTACCCCGGAGTCCCCTCACAACCATTGTTGGGAGGCAAACAAAGTGGGTTATCCCCAGATGCGCCTAACCGAAACCCTACCCCTTATGTAAATATGTGTTCATATCACATTGAAAGATGGGAAAGTCAACTCCTTACATTTTATGCCGGGTCGCTTCTCCATCCTTCTGTGTTTTTGAGATGGGTTGTGGTGGGTGGGGAAAACACAGAGGCAATCCCTCAATTCCCCAAAATTCCCCCCCCTGTGGCGGCAAAACCCTTGATCCAAAATGGCCACCACAGTAGGGTGTTATTACTTAACCAACCATCCCACCATGTTGTTACTGGGGCCCGTTGTTAGTGCATGCAACAAGTTGCATTACCCAACAACTGTCGCCCAGATCAACAGAAACACCCCGCCCGGCCGCCCAGTGTTTCGCGCTGTCGCCCTCTCGATTTTTTCTCCGGACGTGCGCTGCAAAAGTAGGTTCGTTCGAGCGGCCGTTGTCATGCTTCCTGAGCCGCAGAGGGTCTCCCCTTTTGTTTGGTGCTTGACTTACATTACAAAAGGGGGGTTTCCATTAAGAGGTTAAACCACACCGACAGGTACCCCGGAGTCCCCTCACAACCATTGTTGGGAGGCAAACAAAGTGGGTTATCCCCAGATGCGCCTAACCGAAACCCTACCCCTTATGTAAATATGTGTTCATATCACATTGAAAGATGGGAAAGTCAACTCCTTACATTTTATGCCGGGTCGCTTCTCCATCCTTCTTTGGAGGGCACCTCCGCGGCCTTCACGTCCTGGTATCGTAGCATCGGCTGCATGGTGTTCCATCTGTGCCACTGAAGGCGCCGGCACACCCGGCGGTCGCCCACCGCCAGCCACACCACGTGGTCCATCCAGCTGGCGGGCCGGTCATAACTCCAGCCCGATGGATGATTCCTGTCAGGTTGTGGCGGACTGCCATGCCTCCTTCCGGTCCTGCCGGTTTCTCCGGTCCCACCTCAGGTCCCGGGGCCGTTTCCAGCGCTTCGCGAAAGTGCGCGCCGGCCAAGTCCCCCATCACTCCTTGGGTGAGGGCTCTTGCCATTGGGATTGACGCCGCGGATGACTTCACCACCGGGGTGCCACGGAGGTAATTCCTCATGGCCTTGGTGCTGGTCCACCTTCCCAGCACTCGAACTTCCTCCTCCGTGAGGTCGGCGGCGAATCCCAGTATGGCACCCGTCACCCTTAGTGAGTGGGTGCCGTGCAGCCAGGCTCCTTCTGTTTTCATCGGCAATCCGGCCATGCTGGCCACCATCCGGACTGCTTCTCCAACGGCACCCGCTGTGATCCTCCGGCCCCCAACGTCTACGAACAAGGGTGCCTGCCCCGAAACCGTCCCCACTTCACTCATGGCGTCTTTACGGCTGCATATGGTTTTCCAGAGTAGGTGGGCCGGGCACCATGGGGCGGCTGCGGGGTCTTCACAGACGCAGTCCCTGCACACCAGGGAGCCTGCCGCCTCTTGGTCCGTCTTCGAGCTCCGTATCCACAGTCCGACCTGGAACCGTGAGCCGGTCCGTTGGCGGACATCCCCTACATTTAAAGAGGTGAGCTCAGAAACTCGGAGCAGGAACCAAATCCCCACCGATAGCGCCTCGAAGTGGGGGGTATGGGGCGGCGGCATCGGTATGGGTTGCTTCCCTCGGGCCGGTCCGACCCCCCGGCGGCTGATGCGCACGGCCTCCTGGTGTGCGCTTTGTAAGGGGCCACTCATGTCGTAGCGGCTCTTATGCCGGGTTACTGCCGAACTGAGGTAGAGTTCCGCCGACCTATACCCTCGTGACCTGAGGTATGCCACACCGGCTTTGGCGGTCTCCGGGCTCAAGCGGCACCGGTCTTCGGGCAACGTCAAGAGCCCCTTGCTTTCCAGATCCTCCAGTGCCTTGTCCCACGTCTTGAGGCGGGAGGTCTGGGAGCGGACCGTGGACGCAGCTGTCCCCAGCGAGAGGGCTCGGCGGAAATCTTGAGCCGAGAAGGGTCGGCCCTTTCCGCTCTTGCCCGAGCGTCCTCCACCTTTCCGGAACATGTTGCGTTCTCGGTCCCGGGCTGTTTTTCCCGGCTTCTTACGTTTGGGCCTTCCGTCCGGTCGCCGTCCGCTCCCGGGGCCGCCCCCCTTTCCTCCCGGTCCTCCGGCTCCGCCACCTTTGCGGTTTGGTCCCCTCGCGGGCCCCTGTGCTTCGCGCACCCTGGCGTCGCAGTTGAACGTGTGGTCCCTGCCATGGGTGCGCACGCACGGGTCGCAGCAGACGCTGTCTCCTCCACGGGACGGTCGGTTGCAACCGCGCACGTCACACACGTGCCAGTCCCATGCCGGATGGTCCCCCTTCCCTCTCGGGGGGGGCCTAGGAGGCTCGGGAGGTCGTTCTCGCCCTCTTCCGGAATCCCATCGGTCCGTTTCCTCTTCATCGTAGTGGTCGTGCTCCGCTTCCTCCTCCTCCGTGCCTTCCGAGTCATCGTCGGAGTCCTCGTGGCGGTCTCGGTCGATGTCAGGAGCGCTGCGGCTCCCGCTCGCTCCCGGCGGGATGCCGCTCCTGCTGGCGGCCGGAGTGCGACTCCGCTCGCGCGGCGGCGTGCGGCTTCTGGTTCGCCTGCCCGTTGCCGGGGTGAGATCCGGCATCATCCTGGCCGGTGGCTGGTGAGTGCCACGGGCCGAGGGCGGGGCTCCCGACCCTGCGCCTCCGGCGGGCAGAGCGGGTCTTGCCCTGTTGCGGCCATCCTCCGTGGACGGGAGCCTGCCTGCGCCTGAGAGCGGTGACCCCTGCTCTCCCGTTCGGTGCGCGCAGCATGCGCACATAGGGGCACCGGCTACCCACCTGGTGCACTCCTCGCACGGCGTGTGCCCGCACATTCTTATGTCTCTGTTTTTCGGCCTGATCGTGCCGACCCTGCTGGGCACCAGGCATATGCCCACGTGGTGGCGGCTTCGACTTCCCAGCGGTCGTGTCACCATGGTGGCGTGGTCCAGCCGGATGCTGTGATTCATCGCCCTGGCTCCGCCCTTGCCGCAAGAGCAACAGATCGGGGCGGCATCGGCCAAGCCCAGTTCGGACCCATGGTCCCTTTCCGGCGGGGATCCTTCCCGGTCCTCGTCTCCCGGGGGATCTTCCCGGTCCCTCCTGCCCTTGCGGGGGCGGTGCCCGCCCGGGGGCGGTTCTGCCTCGGCTTCCTCAACTTCCGGGGCCTGGCCGGTCTGGTCACTTCCGGCCCCTTCGCCATGGGATCGCGGGGCCATGCCGAGGTATTCCCGCAACCCCCTTTCCGTTAGGACCCACTCTAGGATCCACGGCTTTCCGGTTCCATCCATTCCTCTGGTGTCAGCGGGCGCCTCGCCCGGATGTCCAGGGATGCCACGGCATGCTTCCCTCTCTCTTGCATCCCTGGCCTTGCTGACACGTAGGTCGTCTGGCCCATGCTTGGGCCTGGGGGCCCCGAAACTGGGACCTGAGTACTGTTCCGCCTTTCTGGCGGGTGAGTCCGCTCCGCGGTCCGCGTGCGGCCGCTGTTTTCCTGCCTCTTGACTTGGTCGCGGCTGCTGTTTCTGGCGGAGGGCCGCACGGACTTGTGCGGCGGTAAGTCCGACCGCGGCCCACTTGGTGGCCCGCCGCAGCAACATCCCAGCAAGAGATGTCCCGCAGCGTATGTGAGTGTGCAATCCACCAGGAGGGCCAACACCAGGTCGGCTGGTATGCCCCCAGCCAGGGCACAGCTGATCGTGATCAGCATTTGAGCCAAAGGGGCTGTGTGTGAAGGGCAGTGTATAGGGGGGTTACATGGGTGACCATCAATTATGACCTATCCTTGGTTACATTCTATAATTAAGAGATTGGTGCAAACATTAGGTTTGTTTGATAATATTTAGAAACCCCGAAGGGGGGGGGGACCGAAGGGAAACCCCGACATATTGGGTACCCAAGGACACCCCCGAACCCAGCCCACACACGGCCCTATCGCCAGTGTCAGCCAAGGGTCAAAATAGAGGTCGCCCAGCAGGAACATGTCCTTGGTGGGAACCTCGTCTCGTGGTAGCGGCCTGAGTCGTGGTGGGACCGATTTGCCTTCCTCCAGTCTGGAGAGAGCATCGGCTTCCAGGTTTATGGTATTGCGCCAGTGCTGGCCGAACAAGGCTTCCAACCCAAGTTGTTCCACCCGGAGGGCCAATTCGGCTGCCAGCAAGTTGGCCTTCGGGTTGGGTGATGCGAGCTTGACCGCCACGCTGAGGGCAGACTCGCTGTCGAGCTGGGCTGTAATGCCAAGGCGGCAGTTCCTGATGCGATCCCCCCAAATGATGATTGAGATGAGGAGGGCTAGCAGTTCGTAGACTGTCATCAGGCCTGGGACGCCTCGTTCGATGCGCAGGTGACGGAGTGCCTCTTCAGGTATCGGGCAAGCCCACCAGCGGATTGGCGTCCCGTGGGTATCGAGTAAGATGCCTCCCAGCCCTGTTGTGGACGCATCCGTCCTTACGGACCACTGGGCGGGAGCGTGCCGATCCCAGAGGAGCCTCTTCCTGGTGAGCCCGCCATGGTTCCCTTCCAGGAAGGCCCGTAGCCATGTAAAAGGCAGTCTGACCATCTTGGCGAAGACTGCGTCTGGAGGCCTTTTCCGCACCTTGCTGAACCAAGGCTGCGGCTTGTCCATTGCGTAGGTGGCGGCCCAGATCATGTTGACAAACGGGCGTACGGAGGGAATGATTCCTGCCACCCAGCTTAGCTCCCCAGCTAAGCTTCTGATGTTGTATATCAGCCCTTGACGCCCCAGCCCTTGCTGGGTGACCTTCAGCAGCTTGTCTATCCTGTCCTTGTCTATTGCTACCTCCACCCCCCCGGGGAATACCCGGAATTGAGCCCCGATCCATTTGACTTCGTGCCCTCTGGATGCCTTGTGGAGGGCCACTCGCGCTCCAAAGGCGCTCCACAACATTAGGATCTTGGCAATGAGGTGGCTGCGATGGGGCCGGTTTCCACTCAGCGTGATGATGGGATCGTCTACATAGATCTGCGTCCGCCCCTCCCACGGGCCCAGTATGGCCTGGGTTGCCCGGCCGAGCCACGCGGCCGACCTCCCCCATAAAAGCGGGGCCGTGGCAAGACCGAATGGGACACCGCGATACGACGCGTACTCACCCTCGGCAGTTCGCACTACCGCGAAGCCCCTTTCCTCTTCTTGGACGCCCAAGTTGAGGAAAGCGTCCGAGATGTCCGCAGAGAAGAACTCTATCTCCTGCCCGTTGACCTCCATGATGTCGAGGGCGTCCCGCATCAAATCACTGCCCCGCGGTAGGATGATGCGCTCCTCTGCGGACGATAGGCCGTTAATTCCCGATCGGCGCATGTCTGCGATGAACCGGGTCTTGGTTGATCCATCTGCCTTGACCTTGACTAGCGTCGCTAGTTTGGTTCCCCTGGCATCTGGCCATCGGTGGACCACCTGGTTCCAAGGCCCTATGATTTCCAGGTGTCCTTCCCGGACTAACCTCGCCAGTTCGTCCTTCGACTCCTTCTCGTTTTCGTGAAAGGACTTATAGTTGCTGTCCACCTCGACCTCCGTCCCTCTCAAGGCCAAGTATTCGGCGCTGTCCCGCTGGGCCTTGGTGGGGAGAGACGGTGGGAAAATGCCTCTTGGGATTATTGGGCTGTTGATTCCCAGAGGGGTGTTGCCTTTAAACCATTCGGCAACATCGACATCCTGGTCCCCGGCGTAGCCAGTTACCGCTGCGATGAGTTTCCAGCGCCATCGAGTCGGCCCCCTTTCGTCCCAGTCCTGGGTGGCGCCGGTTACCCTAGCAAGGGCTGCGGCGCCTGCCTTCCCCATTCTTTCCAAGACTGCACGGGCCTGCTCGGCATCTCCGGGCGACAATTCAGTCCCTATGGTTTCAGCCAGAGCCAAACCTTCCGGCATAGCCCACAGGACTTCATCCAGCGCCTGTGACGCACGAGCGCCCCACTTGCGCCAGCCCGCAGAGGCTGCCACAGCCTTGCGGGGGTTGCGCATCCCTCCAGGATACGCTTCGTCCTCCGCCTCCCTTTCTTCCTTGGCACTTTTGGTGTGCCCCGCAGGTGGTCATTCACCCGCCAATTGGGGCAGCTCCTCCCGAATCAACTTATTTTGGAACCTGCCCACTTTCTTGTATCGCGGTTGTTGGGGCGTGGCTTCTTGGTCTCGTAACCAGTCTATCCACCCCTTTGCCCAGGCCTCGCACATCCCCGTAGGGTACTCTGCGGCTTCTGCCGTCAGCCATACCTCCTGTTCCGTCTTGTACGACCACACGCGGCCTTCGAGCGTCGTGTGAGCGTGCCTGGGCACATCTCCGCAGCGTTGCAGGTGGAACAGCCACGGGCAATTTGTGAGCACACCCGTGGACTTCTTGAAGGGGCCACCGTATGCGCACTGATCGAATCCTACGAACCGGACTTCCGGTCGTTTCCGAAGTCTCCTGACGGACTTCAGCTCCCAGATCAGCGACGGTTCTGGGTTTTCCATTGAAAACCACTTCCCCTCATCAAGTTGCTTTTCCGCCAGGACGCATCTATCGGTTATGGTGTTTGCTTCCACGGTCTGGTCGTCACCGAAGCCTTCTGGTCTCTCCTTGGATCTCAGGGCTTTCATTGTGCCGTGCTCGTCAGTGCGTCTTGCTTTGGTGAACGTCCGGCATGGGGGAGCCATGTGCCTCCAACTCGGGGCTTCAGCCTCCATCATTTGCAGGAACTCGTCATCCTGAGTTATGTCCTGCCCGTATCTGGCGTCATGTGGTGTCCTGACTCTGATCTTGGGACCCCCTATCCGGCTCACTGCCTTCGTGAGCCCGGCATCACCGGCGAACAACTCTTCGAAGACTGGCCGGTCCCCTTTTGCATCCTCTTCCCCCGTTTGTTGCGCCGGGCCAAGGGGATTCCCAGCGCCAGGGGGAGGGGCCGCGGGCCCCTCCGGGTCTCCCGGTCATGTACTCCCCACTTTCCCGCAATCCTTTGCGGGGTGGGAGCCAAGGCAAACCTGGCATACATGCACCATGCCCTTCTGGCACACGCCTTTGCATTCTCCGTTATTGAAACCGAAGCAGATAGGCTTGCCTTGGCGGTCTGTAAGGAACCGGCCCCGCCCGTCTCTTTTGGGACCTCGGCCCTTGCCTTTAACTGGCGGCGGACCTCCTCCTCCCTGGGCGGGTGCCTCGGAGGCGGTCGCTCCCTTGCCCTCCCCGGCCTTCGCCAACTGCGCCCTCAGCCTTTCCTTCTGCGATTTCCTGTTCTTCTTGGGAGGGCTCTTCTGGCTTGTCCCGTCGGTAGCCGAGCCAGTCCCTCCTGGCTGTTCCCGATGCTTTCCTCCCGTACGGAACAGAAGGGCTGGTTCCCTGACGTGCCTATCCCAGAACTCCCTGTCCTGAGATGCCACCCGGAACACTTCATTCCATGGTTGTTCTGGGTCATAGTCGTATGTCAGGCCCCTGGCGTGCTTCACTTCCAACTCTCTCCTGAGTCGGACAAAGTGCTCTCCGCGGCAGCGGTCCTCCGCCACCACCAGGAGATGCCACGCCTCCGGGTAACAGACAACGAGATCTCTGAAGGCATCCTTGTAAGCCTCCATAGCCGCAACAGTGGCTACCGGCACCTTATTCCCGCCCACGTCCTTTTCCAGCATGAGAAGCGTGTTCTCGTAGACACGCCAGGACGACAGCCATGCATCGTAGCTGGGCGGGCCCGGTACTTCCACAGCTTTGAAAGTACCGTCCGGCTGGAGGATATGGTTGAGGAACTTCAGAGTCCTGGAAAAGCGTCCTTGAAAGTTAACGAAGACGGCGAAGTCCGCGTACGGCGGGAGGTCAAGATCCAGGACCCTGACCTTCATGGCCGATATTTGGTCCGGGGACGGCTCCGCCTCCGGTCTCACCGGCCCTCCTTTGGCCTTCCTCAGCACCTTGTAATGCTCTTCAACCAAGGTCTGGGTGAGTTCCGGGATCTCCCCTTCGTCCGCCTGATCCAGGACCTGACTGTTCTTCACCTTCCTGGCCGGGTTATTGGCCGGCCCACCCGGTGGCGGGTTGGCCGGTGGTCCTCCCCCCGCCCCCACCGGTGCGTGAGCCGGATCAGTCAGAGGGTCGACCTGAGGTCGTCCAAGCTTGGCCAGCGCCACCTGGTACATCAACCCCACTTGGGTGCCTTCAACTGCAGTAAGTTCGCGCTCGCCAGGCGCCACATAATCGGCATCACCCGGGGCACCGACTGCAGGGGTAGGCACCCGCGCTGTCCGAACAGCTGTGCGCACAGCTGTCGGTGGGAGGTATGCTAAGACTCTGAGATGGAGAACTCCACCCAGGGTAGCATCCACCGTCTGCCATACGGCATCCGCCAGGCCAGACCAGGCACGGGCCTGGGCCACCGTAGTGATGGCTTCCAGTTCCCCGGCGGTGAGCAATGCCATGGCCATGGGGGGAAAACACAGAGGCAATCCCTCAATTCCCCAAAATTCCCCCCCCTGTGGCGGCAAAACCCTTGATCCAAAATGGCCACCACAGTAGGGTGTTATTACTTAACCAACCATCCCACCATGTTGTTACTGGGGCCCGTTGTTAGTGCATGCAACAAGTTGCATTACCCATCTATATATATATACACATACTATATATATACACATACTATATCATACTATATATATATATATGCATACATACTATATCATACTATATATATATATGCATACATACTCTATATGAATACTATCATATTATATATATATGTATGGTTCTATATCTGACACATGTAGATATGTGTATACATATGTCGATGTATGTGTGTATATGTATATTTTTGACTAATGCTAATCATATATATATATATATTTATATATATGATTATATATGTATTCGGTTCCCGAAAGGCGGGTGCTATTCGTAGTGTGACTGGGGCCCTGCTTCTTTGTGAGTAGATGTTTTGGTATCAACTTCAGATATCATGGAATTTCATAAGTAGCTCCCGGTGGCTCACGGGAATTCTTGCTAGCGCCTCGCTAGCGCGCATTGCTAGCGCGGCACTAGCGCCGTGCTAGAACGAAAAAGGTCAAAAATTGCAATTCAGCCGGACATAGCTTTGGCATCATGAAGTCTAGTGCTGAGCTAGAGCGAAACTAGCGCTGACATGGGGATTTGCTTGATTTAGCTGCGGGCCCGCTTGATATGAAGATAATATCCGCTGCACATGAGACATATTATACATTGTCATGGGATGTCAGTGGGTGATATTTCAGCAGTAGCTTTAGATGTATATCAAATGCAGAAGATTGTCTTTCCAACAGCTGCAGAACGATTCAACGTACCAACATGTACCAACCTGGTTGACATAGTGGGTACAGCCTGGGTACAGCGTGCTGAGTACTGCTGAGGGCCCACATTCCAGGCCCTGCTTTCCATTCCGCCCCTGAAGCATCGCCTCAGACCCCTCGGACTCTGCATCCTGGTTACGAAGGAGTCCCCCCAGTGGTTTGGATCGGTGGATGAAAACATCCCCAGTCATAGGCTCTCCGGCTTTCCAAGTGCTAAAGTGGACGGATGGGGATATTGATGGATATTGCATGTTGACAGTTTGATGAATCCCGGGCCCCAACATCACATCCACCAACGGCATATCTATTTCAACTAGGAGTACTTGTCTCATCCCAGCGTAGCCGGTTTTTAAGCACTGGCTGAATTAACAGTATCATAATGTATCATACAGTATCATCATTATTGCCATCATGATCATCAATGTCATCATTATCGTGGTCATCATGATCATCGCCATCGCCATTAGAGTCATTAGAATCAGAATGATATTAGCAATATCTAGTAATACTCCTCATCAACAACAGCAAAGAAAGGGCACTGGAACCATGTTTTCCAACAGATGATGTCCTCCTTTTCTTCGGCTGCTATCCGCTCTTCCAGCGATGCAGCCACACCTGTGAAATCTCGCCCCTGGCTCCCGGAATATGTCCCGGAATATGGACAGTACTTGAAACATCTTGAAACCACAAACTAGTGATGATTGTCTCATCCAATCCATCCTGAAACATCCTGAAACCATGCATAGATCCACCCTCTCCGTCTCCATCTTCCTTTTAAGATCTTTTAAACCCATAAATGCCGACCTGTAAAGAGAAACCACAACTCATTGGTAGCTCAAGGATACCATAGGATACCAATGTGAACTGGTCCGCCTTTGCTGGTCCAGCCACAAGGTTGAAGCGGAGAAGCCTGGGAGCGTAGAGACCCACCCTGGTGTTGGATCAGCGTTGGTCTTTTCACAATCCCATTGCCCCAAGTTCAACACCCCCGGGGTTCGCAAAATGATTGGCTTCAACATGTATCAATTCAAGCCGCGTCAACCTACCCGGGTTTGTCTGAAAATATCTGAACATGGGATACCCCAATCAATCCCAATGGTTTATCAGTTCATCACATATATTTTCATCATTCTTCCAATTAAAATCACAATCGATTGCAATTTTGTCGAATCGCGCACCCCATTCCTGGACACCCACTTCCAACCCTATCAGTTGTTGGGCGGCTACCCAGGAACCTGAGGTAAGTGAATGACCTCCTGGGGCTGGTCGGAGGAGTTACAACGTTTATATATATATATGTATATCATTATATATATATATATCATTCTATTATCAATATAAACATTCTTGACTGCAGAAAAAAAGGAGGGCAATTGTGAGAAATTGTCTATACGTATAAAACTATGTATACATGATTTTTATTTTTGCCAGGTGGGATTATCAAAGGCTACTTATTCAGGTAAAATCCAGTGATAAGAAATGCGACCGGCCCGTGTCCTGAGCATCCCCAAGCTGCAACTGCACCGGGAAAGGTAGCTGATTGCGAAGGTATTGTCCAGCATACAGGGATACCAGGACACCTGCTATGGATGGGACATGATGGGACCCAGCAATCCCAGAAATGGTTTTTGAATGTTTTTGAATGTTTCTGATATGCCCCCGGTGTCATGAAACTCGCCATGTTTGATTACCGCAAGGTTAAATAAACCGTTCCATTAGCCACACGGGAGGCGGCCGTGCCTCCGCTGACCGAATCGCCTTATACACTGGACTGAAACTGGAATGCCAGCACTGAAAAAAAACAGCCAACATAGGATAGAACAAACAGAATACCAAACAAGCACTAACATACACAAGGCTTTCATCAACCTACAGGGTTCGAGCTGACTTTTTGTGTGTGCCTGACCATGAATATTCTCAATGCCATGCTGGGAGCCAGCTTCCCGCTAGTCGATACCGGGTCTCAGACCTCGTTTCCGCGAGTCCACCTGAAGATATCATGGGCTACCAGGGAGACCATCAAATGTCCTGATATTCTAGATTTGGGGAAGCTGCGCCAGGCATGGTTGAGTCAGCAAAGTGCGATTCCAGCATCATGATGACACAGTCATGCACAGTCGTGAGCGGATCCGAGCAGAAACAAATGATAAACACAGGAACACAACATGTAAAGGTCCTTATCTGCCGCAAGGACATTCACACTGCTTATCCACCTACCCACATACCAGAATGACAAATGATGTGAACATGAAGAGCATGAATTATGTAGCATTATCTTCTGAATGGTCTCCTTTTGAAAAGACAGCACTGGATTTCAGCTCGAGAGTCAGGGCTACCGGACGTTGACCAAGAGGCGGAAGCAATCCTCCTCGCTGATGATCTCCTGGCGCTCACCGTCACTCGGATCTGGGATGATCTGGGATGACATGCACATGTTTTTTTCTTTCATGACCTAAGTGGCTAATACAAACATGGCAAAACCCTAAGTTTCTTGTTTTCCGCCTCATTTATAATTTATACACATCAGTTTACATCTGTCTCAAGTCTCAACATGGGACAGGATTCTCATTCCTTTCAGAGCCGGTGGGAAGCCCGGATGATTTCTCCATTGACACCGCATTGGGGCCCCAAACCACCAGTGTCGTTTGGCCCATGCCACAGGAAGCCTCGAAGACATACATGGGTCTGTTTCGCGGGTATACACCCCGAATTTTCCCAAAATGCCAATTAACCACTGGATTTTGAGGTACAAGCATCTTACTTTCAGATAAACCGGCATGAGTTTCTCAGACTTGGTTCACAGGAACATTTACAGGACAGCTGCACCTATCTTATGGGACAACGCACGGTTTCCAGTTTCGATTTACCCTTAAACCAATCCATTCCCAGGCAATGATAGTCCGAGCCGCTTCAGTCCACACTGTGGTGCCATGACGATCGACCTTGCGGTTGGGGCGATGATCTCAGAGGCTAAAGATTGCAGCGGGAACTCGGGGTCATCAGCTTGCGTCACCTGCCATGAACCCTCACCTCTTTCTAGATGGAAAGTTCAGGTGGAATGCCAAGGTCATAACCTGGTGATCCATGTGGGCAAAACTGGATGGACATGACAGACTCAGTGTTCTATGTCCAACTGAGGATTGCCTACCTTCTCTTGAAGGAATATTGTTTTTTTAAGCTACACTTCGAAAGGTTCGGTCTTCGTTGAATCCTCAGGCGACTGTCCACCTCCGACACAGTGATCAAGGCAACAGATCCCAAGCCACTGAATTTAGAGGAGAAATCCACGACAAAATCTTTCCGTGAACCCCAAACCACTGGTTTTCTAGGTTGGGTCCTTAGTTTCTCCTCTGGTAGGCCTCAACCCCTGGCCACCCCTCAGACCCCGGCCACGCCAAACCAAGCGCAAAGTGGAAACGTTGGATCGTGTTGCACTGCACCTAGGCTGCACATGCCATAGCCAAGGCCAAGGAGTTCACTCCTGGACCCTTCAAACTTGGAGACTCAGTGCCAAATGGTCAATTTTTGTACCCTCAAACTCGAGCAAACCACAAAAACTGGATAGTTTCGCGGATGGCTCCAGAGAAAGGGTAAGAAGGGGCCCAGAGACTTGGTCCTGGTTGTTCTGAGCCATTCAAACTTGAGCTTAAGAACTCAAATTCAATTCTGAACCATCCAATTTTTGGGAGAACCTCCAGCTAACAATCCGCAATATGTAGTGCTTTGTAGTTGAATCACCTCTTAATTCTCTTAAATATCACGAACATCTAACGACTTCCCAATGCCATGGGGACACTTCCACACCGCCGAGGGACCCAGGGCGGCTGTCCAGCTTTCGCCACAGGCAGCGCGATGGAGAATTACCTCAGGTGGGGTACAGCTGGGCCAAGGGATCGATTTTCTCTGTCAAGAAAAAAAGTGCGAATACCATTTTTTATGTTTGCCAAGGGGTCACTGGAATGAATGACATTACTAAACTTTGACTTTGAAGCTAATTTTACTGTCTTGGATTGCCTGCATCTTGACTCTTGTTGGGTGGTATGTCCAGGTTGCTGTTGCTTGATTTTGTTGATTGTTCTTGCACATCCCACTACTATTGGATGGCAGATCCCTTTGCCTCGAGCGGTTGGATGTATCCCTGTTTTTTTGTTGGGAACATTCAGCTCTTTCATACATCACCGTAGATCATATCATGTCTGGACACGCCTATTCATGGATTGATGACCACCCAATATGGGTATATCATGGTTACATCATCCGACTTTTGATTATAATTGCTTATATAATCTTATATATCCCATTATATCTAATGAAATATTACCATTCGCATCCATTAACATCATATTTTCCGATGGTTACATCGAACTTTTGACCATGGCAATCCATGGAACATATCTTCGTTTGGTGGCAAACCCACCGATGCCGAGCCACGCAGTTGGCATGGTTCTCCCCGAGCCGAAACCTCGGCTCTCCTGCGGAGTTGGCTGCTGGTTGATGATGGGGTTGAAAGGGGACTATCCTGGCAGAATTATGTATATATATATATATCACATTTTTGGATGTGATGGCAGCTTTTCGCAGATTGCTTGGAGTTGACCATTGCGGGTAGGATGGAAAAGAAGTTGACAAGGATGACATTCAAAATCATCAACCAGCTGAAACATCCAGAAAGATACACTTTTCAATAGATCGTAGTGTAACCGTTGTATGGAATGTGCATCCCTCTGTTCAGAACCTGGTTAAGGAACAACTACGTAGCGGGTGATTGAGCTAAGTGCACATACGTCAGCGTATAGCAATGCGAAACCTACCTATCTTGTGGGCGTTCTCAACTCTTGACGTTCCATCCCCAAAACATTGCAAACTGATCCAAACTTCCCACACATTGTCATCATGGAGCGTAAAATAAAGCTGCAAAAAGCTTAGCTTCGCCTATTCCATCAGTACAAACTATTTTTCCAATTCCTTGGCTTGTTCACAGACCTTACATAGCCATTGCACATTTTTCACCGTTGTTGCTGAGGTCAGCCGCAGTGACGTGTGGATTGACTCGCACTTCCCTTCTCACATGGTACCTCTACCTGACCTAGTACAGTCGAGTAGACTCAGTAACACAGGTTTGTTACCCTCGGACAATAAGGCATGGCAAAGAGAAATCCCCCTGCCTGTTCCAAAATTTTGCAAACAAAAGGGAAACATCAACTTCAATGTGGGATGTTTATGATTGCCAGATGATCTTCTTCAAGGTCTCGTAGATCGTGTTCCAAAGGTCGCTCCTCGTGCCAATCCAAAGAGGATCTCGCAGCCGGTCTCGTTCCGCACCTCCCAGCAACTTCCAGGAGATCGGTGGAAAACTGTTGGATACTGGGCTTAAAATAGCTTGGTTCACATCGAATTCTTCACATCTGGGACACAAGCCAGTTGCTAAGCATGTGGCTATCATCCAAAGCTTCTCGGATCATCTCAGATCATCTCAGTATACCCTGAATCTGATCTGATCTGAATCCCCTTTTACATCCAGCGATCGCACCTGCCACATGGGCTCGGCTGAGACTTCTCGCAACAGCCCCGAGTGCCTGGTCACCAAAGCGCTCTTTTCTGGTGTGCGCGCTTGCTATCTTGCTGGTGTGGCCGTGATGCTTGTGGTGATGCTGTTTCGAATTATGGATGATACATGTGTATATATATATATATACATAACATCATATATATATATATATCATATATATAATATATATATATATAATATATATTTACTATTATACATATATTATATGTATATTCAATATATTTTAATTATCTACATACATATGTACTATTATATATTATATATGTATATTATCTTCAATGTCACAATGTATTTTAATCATGTATATATATAATATATATATATATATACATGGATGATGGATAACCATGATGATGGATGATGGAGGATGACCAATCTCATGCTGCTAGCAGTGTCTTGCAGGACCTGGTGGGCGCATCCTGCTGACCATCCATCTTGTTGAAGGCAAACATGCCGCTTGGTAACAGGGCTGGGGAAAAACATGAACAGCATGAAAAAAGAAGTAAAACTTCTAAGCTTCAACCATTCTGACACCGTCACCACCAAACATGACTTGTTTTGGACGAATTCAATCACTTTCAATCATTTTTGGACATATTTTTGGACTATGTTCGGATGATGTTCGGATGTTTTCATTGTGTTTCAGCGATGAAATGGGATTATTTCTGGTGTACTACCTTTTCAAACATTTTCAAACCATCATTTTTGATTTGTTTCAAACCATCTCATAATTTTTCAGTATTTTTCAATCGACAATATTTGACATCTCATAATTTTTCAATCCTTCCCTATGGATCCACTATGGATCCGTACCTTCTGACGTGTAGCTTCTGACAGTTGGATCGTGGCACCTGCATCGCCGAATCTCCAGTAACAGGTGCAGCTCGCTGAAGGCCATGCCCTGGAGCAACAACTCCCATGGGGGATGGTTTTGCCACATTTTTTTCTTGGGTTTACCAGGTTTACCACATGTTTTTTTTTTTAATGGATGTGAATGACCACCTAATATACATATATGTATATATATACAATTACCATATTTTCCAAAGCATTTCCAAAGCACGATTTTCATCTTTAAGCGTTCTTAAAAGTGTGAACTGAAGGTGGAAACATATTTTGAAACTGGCCTCCAAATTGGGCTGAAACCAATCTGAAACTAGTGGCGATTGCAAAATACTTCCACTAGTGGCATCTCTTGTACCCTCAACATGAAATAACACATCAAACAAAAAAAACATTAACATGATATTACTACTGAACTACAATAATAGTAATATTTGTTACTGTCATATTTGTAATATCGTGCATAAATGTGCATAATATACTATTCATTTACTAATCTACTAATATACTACTATTAATATTTGTTTTTGTTCTTATCATTGTCGCATCATTCTGATATCATTCGCACCTCGCCGCGGCCGCAGCGCACCGCGTTGCGCCAGGAGACCAACTCGTTTGCCTGGTGCACCGTGTGCAATGTGGGTTCAACCCATCTCCAACACATGACTCGTGTAAAACATATGTTACATAGAGTCTAGAGTATCATATATATATATACGTATGTATACAATATTATATTGTCAGATCAGAATGTGCTTATGTTACCCAGAGGTGAACGATCAACGCTGAAAATGACAAACATCGGGGGTCCGCTAAGCGTTAAAGTTTTGATCTCTTTGCCCGGATTCATTGTTAGTGGAGAACTATGGTTACTGTCCACAAATGGAAGGACATCATGATATCACTAATTCCCATGCAAGTCCTCCCTTTTTGCTACATAGGTTGCGACTTTTGGATAATTTCTTACCTTCTACTTTTGGATAATCCCTTCCCTTCTACTCATAAACATAGAAACTCCTTGGTTTCATGTTGAATCTGTTTTTTTTTGTAAATCCAAGATATATACCCTCTTGTAATTTAACAAAGCTATGGAAAATTGCCCAGTTCTAGTGGATTTACTTTTTAAAAGTGGTGATTTTCAATAGTTAATTATGTTAGTTTACCCTCTATATAAGGATTTTTCTAAATTTTTGGAACAAAAAAACACTAAAAAAACCCACCATTTCTGTGGCGCCTCCGTGCTGGCGAACTGTGTCAAGCCGCTGAGCAACAAGGGCCCCGAAGAGAACGAACCGCCTGGGGATGGCTGCCATGGCTGCCATGGGTTGATGATGGTTGATGATGGTTGATGTATTGAAGCAAACATGGTGGATATACTCGGAATATACTCGGAATATGTTAACATGAATGAACATGATGATCAAGCAGTGGATTTTGGGGTACCCAATGTTTACCAACCTTTGTATTGAAATGTATGGAATACATTGGAATACACAATTTAAGAAAGGCAGCAAAGTAAACTAATGAACAAAACAACTCATATCATGGAATCACCTGAGTCATCTGTGGGGGATGCCTGAAATTGCTTGAACCGTCACCCGTGTCCCTGAATCACCAACCCTTTAGTAACATATCATGCAAAGAGGCCCATGTGACACAATCATACATAATCCTACACTTCCAATATTTTTCGCCCGCATGTGTAGCTTGTGCGCTTCTGAAATATTCGGACCGCCAAAAGAGCCTTGTCTTCCCAAAAAAATGTTTTCTTGAGACATTTTGATTTTGGAGTGTCCAAGGTTGAGAAACCATCTGCAAAAACGTGGTGTCCCCGAAGACTATTGATTGTTTCACCTGCATGTCATTCTTGGCACCTTCCTCCTTGCACTCCTCGACGTCGGGAACAACCTCAGGCACAGTGGTCAGTTGGGTCTGGCAAGCATCCAGCGTTTGGCAGGTCTATTCCAGTATGCATTGCTATTGATTATGTAATGTCTTCTCTTTTTTCGCACCAAGCAAGATATTGGAGCCCTGAATGTCTGTATGAATAGGGTCCATAGATTGGATGGTAGATTCAGGCCAGCTCACACACACACAGAGCGTCTCTAGATGAGCTGTGACTGCTGGCCACGTGCCACAAGGTCATTCAAAGTTTCAAAGGGATTAAGAAGACATTCTCTGAGAGTTGAAGAGTCTTGCCGGAGCAATTGCTAACTTGAAAACCATGGGCCGTGCTTTTTTAAATTCTTTTTCTACAAGCTGGATCTCACAACATGCAGAGTTCAACTCTTCTTGGAGGGTACCAGCTGATTTTGGCTCCCAGGCTTGCAACTCCAAGTGCCGCAGTTGCCTGGCCATGGAGATCCTGAAAAGGTCCGAAAGGTCCAAAGATGTCCAAAGGATAACCTACTTGGCTCATCTTGGCTCTGGGTCAAAGTTTAAGACCCCCAGATCGACAGATTCCATGGTCAGTTCGAAGATGATCCAATCAGACGGAAACTAAGGTTAAACCATTAAAAAACCACCTTTCTGATGTGGCTGGAAAAGCAAAACTTCGCGCCCTGCCAATGGTTGGTCAGATTTGATGATCAGCTTTCCATCCCCTAGCTGCGTCGCCTCCCAGATCTCAGTTGCGCAGGGTTGGAATCGGCAAATGGGAAATCAAACAACAGGTCGACTTTCAAACTCACGTTCTTGACCGATGTATCCAGTTGTATCCCCATTTCTGGTGGCTTTTTATATGCTTTTATGACAGCTAAATCATATCCCTTGGCGCCTGGGATCCGCTACTGCATGGGAGGCACAGCGCGCTCCAGGGCCTCAACAGGGCAGTATTTCATATCACAAAACATAGACATAGATATGTAGAATATTGTAGGATCATGTAGGTACATGCAGGAGAATATACATGGCATATATAGTAATATACACATGTCATACAATTCGGCCCCGACCGAATTGTAAGCCATGACGCATTTCGCGATGTCCAATAGGTCAATAGGTTGGATGTCCCGAGATGAGTTAGATGACTTCTGAATTACATCAAGTAGCTGCTGTTCTGTGCAATATTGGAACATTGGAAACGGTTCATCCGTTTGACATGGGGGAGGTCTACCTTGCCATCTGTAAAATCGAACATCACCAAACCATTGTGTGGGTCATTGCCAGAAAGAATTGAACGTATTCGAAAGTCATGTTTAAGCTCCAAAACGGCACGTTTAGACCCCATCTGCAGTTTTGACTTTCGAAGTCGCCCATCATGTTCTTCGTTGATTGCAGTATCAACATCTGAGGTTAATAATTTTGAATTGTTCCCGTGTCGAGATATCTCACCATGCCACTTCACCAACTGCCGCCTGCACTGATGCGGATGGGCGTTGCCAAGAGATTCAAGCACCAGCGGGTGTGGTTGCCTTGGAGGATGCAGCAGTTCCTTGAAATAGTTGTGCAAGCATAAAGGCTACAAGCTACGTATGACAAGGCACGTGAGAGTACTTTATCACTATAGAATATTAATGAATATTATATAGATAGATAGAATATTTTCACATTCGATTTCTTACGTATGATTTTCATTTTATCCGAACGTGTATACATGTTGGAAGTATGTATCGTATCAATCTGACGCATCAGTGGAATTTCACCAGCATGGCAGAGCAGCTCAAGCCAAGTACAAAGGTACTAATACCCGTATGCCCTTGCAGTGATACATATAAATAAACAAACAATCTGGAAACATGATGAACATGCTTGTAAGGGGATGTACATACATATAATCATACATATATATATATATTTATAGCCATGTCTGTGCTGCATACAGGTAGGCTCTCGTATCTCTATACTGCACATTCACAAGACCCTTTCAAGAGTCCCATTCAAGATCCGTACCGTCCGTACCAAAAACTTTCAGTTTGTGAATGGGGATCATGGAAAGGGGAATGAAACAGGGGCTGAAACATGCTGAAAGTACCCAGCAAATAGATACAGTAGATTTTGGGCGATGATATATATATATATATATGTATATTAGATATAATTATTATCATCATATATCATGACACAAAATCTATCAACATCTACTCTGTATGATACAGCCTTTTGGCACTTATCTCAGCCCTGCAAGAATAAGGGTGGCCCTGATCCCTTCAACGATGAGATTGTACAGTATCAGTACAACGTTCTGCAGCCAACCCGATGATTGACAAGCTGACAAGCGGCTGAAGATAATCATCGGGCGAAGCCACAACACCTGGGAGGGTTTTTAGGGCCACTGGTTGAGACCAAAGATGCCAAATTCATCTCTGGTGGTTCCAAGTTCCATCCCAAAAAACACGTGCGAGATCGTGTGGTTTGGGTTCAATATGCTTCAATAATGTTCAATATGTCAGTGAGCAGCAGTGATGGTTGATTTTTGGACACTTTTGATCGCACCATGGAAATGGTGCATTGCAGCAGGATCTCACAGGTTATCAGGTTGGATCTGAAGCCGCTACCCATTGGTTTTCCTTGGAGATTGTCACTCCAATTCAATACCAGCATCTC